AGGATTCCTTTTCTAGATTGCAGACTTTTCTATTACGTGTTGTGTAAGACTAAGAATCAAGTCATACACTATTTCTCTATCCCCGTGAACAACCACAATGAAAGCATTAGTAGGAATCAATTCATTTTTCTACACATTTAAAATCTCTGAGTCTAATATTTATTCAGAGGTAAAAATGGTTTTTGGTAGGTTAAAGTCCCATAATTCCCTTACTTTCCTTCAAAGAGAAGAAGAAAAACAGATTAGTGAGTAAACATGTCATTTCACTTTTAAAACTGGCCTACGAAGTTCAGATTGACCAATTTCTTTTTTAAAAGAGATAGAAGAAGATAGAAGAAAGGTTTCAGAGAGGAAAGGGTGGGCCAGTTTCTGCAACATGGAATAAGGGAGAATTCTAGTAGGTGCTCCTGGGGACACAGGTTGGCACTTCTCCCTTCCCACCACTGTGAGGAGGAAGGATTAGATCAAAAGGAGGATGAGCCTCAAGACCTGAGCAAATGTTCAAGTTCTCCATTGGGCATTTGTTCCCACTTCTGAGTTGGGCTAATAACTGTCAAAATGTCAGACCATGTCTACTAACTGGGTAGACAAGCTATTGTGCTCAATGTACCTTTGAAAATAGCTTTGCAACAATGCTTGTATGTATCCTATATTACTATTCAGTCAAAGTGTAATGTTTCCTATGCCAAGATAAATCTCAATATATAATTAGTAACTTACCTAACCATAATTCTGATTAGAGATATAATTTTCTTGAAAAAAATATTATTTTACTTCAATTTCTATAGTATATTTAGAAGGCAACTACACATATAGTTCACATTTGTTCCACCCAAAAAAGGATAAAGGTCAAATACTGTTATCCGCATTTTATAGGTGTTGGAGAGTTTGCAATCCGCATGCCAAAGGATATTTAGAATTTAAGACTTGGAATCTGACCCAAAATCAGATCTCAAAGCTCTAGATATGGAAAATGTCACAGAATGGAGGCGGGGAATTTGGGGGGGGCGGTGCGGGCCAGGGGGCTAGCACAGAGCGGGAGATAACACCTAAATGACGGTGGAGAGATTTGAGTTTTAAACTTGATACTTAACTACCACTACCTAGTAGGGCAACCTTAAAAAGATCACTGAATTTTCAAAGGCTTTTTTTTTCTCATCTAAAAAAGAAGAAATCTAGACTAGATGTTTTCAGACATTCATTCAAAAACAGTTATTAAACCCTAGTATGTAGGCACTAGGAGATATAACACTAGGTTTTTTCCCCTAAAATAACTCACAGATTAGTGGACGAGACATACACATGAACAAGACAACCAAGAAACAACGTGATAACAACAAAAGATAACAGCATTGTTAAGAGCAGAGAGGAATAATTTAGCAAGGAATGAGGATAGGGATTTAAATCTGAATTGTCTTAAAGGACGAAAAAAAAATTATTCCAGCAAATAGAGGACAGAAGGACATTCCAATCAGAGGGAACAGCAAAAACAAAGGCTCAGAGTAGGAAAGCAGCATAGTTTACATAGGGAATTATAAGCAGTTCAGTACTGCCAAGGTATAATTGGACAGCAAAAGAGAGATGAGGCAAGAGTTGAAAGCAGAGGCCAGACTGAGGAGATCTTCATGTGATATAGAAGGAATCTGGACTTTATCCAGTAGGCAATGCAGATCCAGGGCAGGGCTTTCACAGGGTAACAGCATAGTTAGGATTTAATTTTAGAAAGATCACTTTGACAGTCATGTGAAGGAAGAATATGAGTGGTAGGAACTACAGGCAGAGATCTATAGTTAAGAATCTATAGCAGAGATGATGAGGGCTTATTCTAGGGTGATTACAGAGAAGGACATAGTTAAAGAAATAAGCAAAACCAGCAGGACTAGAAATGAATTGGGAGTGGGGTGAAGAGTTGAAGGAAAAAAAAAAAAAGGCATGGAATAGATCCAGGTTTCTGCTCAAGACAGAACTGAGTTAGTGAGACTTACAGGGGGGAAAGTTGACAAAATTATCTTCAGTTCAGCTTAGGATATGTTGACTACAAAAGAATATCTAGGTAGAGATGTCTAGCAGTCAGTTGAATATAGTACCTTAATGCTCAGAAAAGAGGCCTGCCCTGAAGATACATAAGTGTGGGAGCAGGCTGCATACTAGGAGTAACTGAAACCTTAATGTGAATGTGACCATCCAGGGAGAGGGTACATAGTGAGAACAGCCCTTGGCCAGATCCAGTTAGATATCAAAATGCATGCAATAGGCAAAGGAAGAAAACCAGGAAAGAAAAGCATCCTAGAACACAATGGGAGAGATCATCCCAAAAAGGAAGTAGTAATCAAAAGTATAAAATATATCCCTGATATAAATTCAGGAAAAAAAGAACTGAAAAATGTCTACTAGTCTTAGCAATTAAGGGGTCACTGGAGAACTTACTAAAAGTGGTTTCAATCAAGTGAATAAGAAAGCAAGTTAGGCTGCAGTGGACTGGAAAGTAGAAACAACTAGTATAAAGACTTATCTGTTTGGAAATTTTAAATCAGAAGAAAAGGAATTTGAAACTTCATGAAGACTGGAAAGATCAATTCCAAGTCCCTTCTAGTTCTCATACTTTATTTTTTTCATATGGATAAAAAACCTATTTTGGTAAAATTTCATTAATACCCACAAAGATTAATTTTTGAAGTACCATTTTTAATTATCAGGAAAAATAGGGGACTCATTGTAGCTATGAATGGAATACATGTGTATATGTAACATTTCCCAAAGTAGCTTCGAAATACCTTGTATTTCTAGTTTCTTTTTTCATATAAGAGTATCTTTTTTCATATACTAAAGTGGGCTAGGACAAAAGGGAAATTATTAGTGGAGTAACCCTCTCTGGCTCCAACTGTTCCTTCTCTTAATATCTCATGAAAACATTCTTTGTTACCCTCTGCCTGGAATATCCTTCACCTCTATTTTAATTTGCTTAATTCCTACTCACTCTTCAAGGGCCTGCTCAAACTCCCCTCAGAATCACAGAATGTTAGAGACAAAAGGGCCTTACAAATTCATTGAATCCAGATGTTCTCACTATGCTGATGAAGGGACTAAAGACCACAGCGACTCAGAGAATGACCTGCCCAAGGTCATACTCATGGCTTTTGGTGGAGCTTAAATTTGAACTATTTCTTCAACCAGGGCCCATTTCATTACACATTATTTCCTCAGATAATTATTAGTTATAAAACTTACAATTGCAAAAAGTCAGGCGTTAAAAATAATCAATTTAAAATAGTTTATTTAGTATAAGATCCACATTAACACCCTTCCAAAAATTAAGGAGCTGGTCTATAACTTCACTTATTAGTTTGAGTCAACTATCCACAACTACTTGATTATACAAGCAAAGATTACAGATGTCGACTAATATTGATTTCATGGATACGTTGACTGTCAGTCACTAAACAGGTTTTCTCCTCAAGAGTGCAGCATTTATTTCAGCCTCTGCCAGTGGAAGTGTCAGAGCAGATGTTGGCAGACTGTGACATACAGTATGTCTTTAAAACTTGTTGAGGTGTGAAATTTCATAAGGTCAAAGAATGCTGAATTTTGATCAGCAGATACAGGAGTTCTGTACTTTATAAATTATTTCAGACAAACCAATAATAGCATTTGCTAGTAAAATAGAAGAAACTAAGAAACCATACTGGCTTTAGGTCAGATATGATAATGTATGTTGCTTATGTTTTAAAAGCCAATTTCTATCACTTTAAAGCAAATGCTTGCACAAAAGATCTTTAGAAAGAAAATGCATTCTTAAAGTCAATACAAAGTACAAGATATTATTTCAATTGACAATAGGATTTTTTAAATAATTTTCTTCTGAAAGAAAGCCATAAATTTGGTGGAGAGAAAAATAATTGTCTTAATTAATACACAAATACAACAGTATTCTCACTTTTTAAAAAATGAAATTCCCTACGGAACAATCCACTTATATAAACAGAGAATTTTTTTTTTTTTTTAAGTAAGACTTCACAAACTCTTTGGTTTATTGTTTTACCTTATTGTTTAAAAAACTGAAAGAAAGTATCCATAAAAAAGACTGGGGCCCTATATAATGATAAAATGACTTTTATAATATTCGAGGATTTTTATTACCTTGCATTTTCTGATGTTGCTATTTATTATATTTTAAATTTATTTTTTGCTTTAATTTTCCCTCACATCTTTTCTAAATGTGGCTAATAGATAACAACATACAGCCAAAATTAAAATTAAGAATGGTGTCTAGTTAAAGATTTTATCCCAATGGTACAAACTTTATCTCTTACACAAGTTTGTTTTAAGTTAACACAACTTTTAAAATGCTCTACTCCTAAATTAACACAGAAAACTCCTTTCATTGATTAATCAGTAATTTGAACAATCTGAAAGCCTGGTCGTAACAATTATAATCATCATCTTTCAGTTTATTTTGTGCTATGTTCAAGCAAATATACAATTTCTAAATAAGTTTAAATTACAAACATTTTTGTTAGATATTTGTAAGGAAGAAAAATTTACTACAAACATAAAATCTCCCCAGAAAATAATGTCTAATGTAAACCACTTGTTTCTTATCATACAATCAATCAAAAGAGCTAAAATTATGATAGGAAACTTTGATTAGAGATGCACTAAGTACTGCAACATCTTACAACCAAGTTCAGTCCAGCAACCAAGTTCAAAGGTCTTTGTTTACACTTTATAGAGAAAAACTTGAGGTATGTATTTAAGGAATTGTTTTTATCACTTTGTTCTAACTATAAAATATATTAAACTATTTTGCATTATATAAGACCACAAATTATCGATAATCCCTATGCTAAGGAACTGAAATTCTATCCAAGCTGAAAATTTCTCTGCTATTAAATACAAACCTAAACTTTTTCATAGGCTTTTCATATACCCCATGATATGTGACACATAAGGCCATACAAATAAATAAATACAAGGTGAATCAACAGTTATAATTAACTTACTTGCTACTGAAAAGTTGTTGAGGGGATAAGGTAAATCCACATCTTGGGGTTTCTCTTTATATCCTATGAATGAGCCATCTGTCTTCAAAAGGAAATATCTTGGCCTCCAGTTTTTTATATATTCTCCTACATGAGGAAAGCATGCATGTTAATGCTGGAGGAAAAAAGGAACAGCAGCTTTTATGTGAAAAATAAATTATGGTACAATATAAGTCCTACAACACTGGCCTCCAAAAATTTAGATAGGCAATTTTCTTTTAACTTAGTTTACAAAAGAAAATACATAAGCCTGCAATTAAGATTCAATAAAAACCCAAACATGTTTTGTTTTTAATGATTTCACACTTTGATAATTCATTTGCACCATTATTTCTTCAGAGAATCATTCAACTGAGTACACATTTTGTTCAGTTTTTCATATCAGATGGTTGTTAGAGCATATTTTCAGCCGTTTTAAAAAGCCTTGGAAAATAAATCATACACACAGTATCAAGGAATTTCAATGAAAAAACACATCATAAGAGGGACATGAAATAGATGTTTCTCTTCCATGTACCACAACTAATTGTGTCATTTTTTTAAAAGAAAAGGAAAAATTCTGTTTTCATTGTTAAATCTTGATCGTAACTTGTTTAAACAACATTTTATTGTTATGCATGAGAAAAAAACCGTACAAATGCTGTAAACAAGTCACGGAAATGAAAGAACATGGGTTAATAGAGCTTAAAAACCATACACACACTCATACACACAAATGTAATAACTAAGAACACATGGTAGTGCCAAGCACATAATAGTCAATAAATGTATATTTTATCAGATTTTGATATAAGCTATCACCTAGTCACCAAAATATAAATGTTTAACAACCGGATCACCATTTGCTTACTTCATACTTCTTTTAAATTTTAAGCAACAAAGGTGTTCCATGATACTCTAAGAGCTGGAAGGCTCCCTGGTCTCAATTTTCAGTTCTCTACTGGATATTCCTACCTGGCTTTTCAATCTCAAGTGCTTAATCACAGCACTACAAAAATTTGAAAGCAGTTCAGCTTTCCCTA